GACCACTTTGACCAGGGACCACTCTCCAACATTAGTACCAAAAGGGTTACAAATCATTTTTTGGTCAACTCTAAATTCGGTTTGGTTATTTGGGGTGCCGATTCAGAAAATTGCATTGGATAAACCGCATCAGCTCTAGTTTCTAATACAGAACATATGCCAGCCAATAGTCGGCATCTGCTCACCCACAGAAAACCATATATACTAAGCCTCTGCACTATAAGAGGGTTTTGCGAGACCAGTACTCTCGTTGCAACAGTGTAGTAATGGTGAGGCCAAGGACCATATTTTAGTTCTTGCGGACCACTGGTGGTCCACAGACCACAGGTTGAGATCACACTAGTCTAATACAAAGCAAAATGTACAAAATCCTCATTTGGAAACAGAAATTTTGTGCTAGAGATTTGAAGTAAAGGCAAAAGATAATCTTGGATACAGTGCTAGCACTGAGAGTCAAACTTAATCCTATACAGATTATCTGATCTATGTGCCTTCATTTCCTAAAATATCTCTGACCCATCTACACTGCCATATAATCCAGATTATCAAAGTAGATAATCCACATTATCCTCTTTGAACTGGATTATAAAGGAGATTCCATCTGAACATTAGGAAGAACTTCCTGACTGTGAGAGCTGTTCAGCAGTGGAACTCTCTGCACCAGAGTGTGGAAGAGGCTCCTTCTTTGGAAGCTTTTAATCAGAGGCTGGATGGCCATCTGTCAGGGGTGCTTTGAATGCAATTTTCCTGCTTCTTGGCAGGGGATTGGACTGGATGGCCCACGAGGTCTCTTCCAACTCTATGATTCTACATGAGTCTACACTGTCATATAATCCAGTTCAAAGCAGATAATCTGGATTTTATATAGTAGGGGCGTCTGCCACTGGGTTTTCTTGGCTGGATTTGTTCAGAGGGGGCTGCCTTTGCCTTTCTCTGGGATCGAAAGAGTGTGACTTGTCCAAGGCCACCCAGTAGGTTTCCATGGCTGATCAGGGATTCAAAGTCAGGTCTCCAGAGTTGTATCCCAATGCCCAAAATGCTACGCCACGTGCACTTTCTTAGCTGCTCTCCTTGTATGTTGAACATAAGAGTTCTACAGCTTATCTAAACCACAATTTTCACATTTAACCATGGGCCAAAAATAGCAAATCGGTGAAACAGAGGAAATCCACAGACACTGAAACTTCATCACATGGCCATAGGCAGATTATGAGTCCTTGCTCAGGCGATCTCTCCACACTGAAATACGTGGAAGAGCCACGAGGGAGATTGATATCTTATCAGAACCAAGTGGGGGATTCTTCTATATTAGAGAACCAGAATTGAAACGTGTGCAATTGTCCTGAACATCTACAACATGGTGATTATGAGAATCTGTTTCTTTGCATGGATACCTGATTCCAGGTATTGGAATACAAGACGCAGGTTGTACTTGGGGTGGCATTCACATATGGACACATGAATGGATGAATATGACAGCTGGCTCAGTCCAGGTTGTCTTGACACATCATTCTTTTCAGCCCCCAGAAGATACTCTAGAAAATCCTGAGGAGTGTTTTGAGAGGCAATTTGAGAAGCAATTTTAAGGGAAAGTGGCATTTCTATAGGACACTGTGAGCAGACTACAGCAAGAGTGAATAAAAGGCACTAGACTAGGGAAGAGAAGCAAATGAGAAATGGTTGAGGCAAATATCCTCAAGTTCTTTCCACACAGCCAATAACCCAGAATATCAAGATAGAAAATCCCACAGTATCGGCTTTGAACTGGGTTATCTGAGTCCACACTGCCATAAATTCCAGTTCAAAGCAGAGAATGTGGGATTTTAGTCAGCTGTGTGGAAGGGGCCTCATGGAACATCAGTCTGGCTCTGAAGCCAGTAAATGGCAAATGCCAATCTCAAATGGATGTTGCCATGCACAGCTCTGTAGCAGCCAAGGCCCCAGGGAGCAGATGGTCTTATTTGGCATGTTAATGTATGCATTTACATCAGTGTTTCTCAACCTGGGGGTCAGAACCCCTGGGAGGGTCACAAGGGGGTGTCGCCAAAGACCATCAGAAAACACAGTATTTTCTGTTGGTCATGGGAAGTTTGGCCAAATTCTGTAGTTGGTGGGGTTCAGAATGCTCTTTGATTGTAGGTGAACTATAAATCCCAACAACTACAACTCTCAAATGTCAAGGTTATTTTCCTCAAACACCATCAGTGTTCACACTTGGACATATTGAATATCTGTGTCAAGTTTGGTCCAGATCCATCATTGTTTGAGCCCAAACAATGTAGGTGAACTACAACTCCAAAACTCAAGGCCAATGCCCACCAAACCCTTCCAGTATTTTCTGTTGGTCATGGGAGTTCTGTCTGCCAAGATTGGTTCAATTCCATCATTGGTGTTCAGAATGTTCTTTGATTGTAGGTGAACTATAAATCCCAAGCAACTGCAACTTCCAAATGAAAACATAATCTCCCCCAACTCCACCAGTATTCAAATTTGGGTGTAACGGGTATTTGTGCCAAATTTGGTCCAATGAATGAAAATACATCCTGCATATGAGGTATTTACATTAGGATTCATAACAGTAGCAAAATTACAGTTATTAAGTGGCAACGAAAATAATTTTACAGTTAGAGGTCACCACAACATGAGGAAATGTAGTAAGGGGTCACAATATTAGGAAGGTTGAGAAACACTGATTTACATTATCAGTCCTCTCCCTTTTTGCTTACCTTTTTTAGACCTTAAACATATTTGGGCATAGGCTACAAGAGTATTTTTAGGAACCAGAAATCAACTAACTCAAGAACCACCTCCCGGTTTTTACTATCTTTGCATCAGGAAGCTTAAATATCTAAAGGCTGAAGCAAGAGAGGGAACCTCTTCCAACCTGAGAGGGAAACAGAGTCTCAGTCTGGAGCCATGTTCCAGCACTAAGAGGTCCCAACAGTGAAAGGATAGGGACAAAATGCATACTTTGGCTTAAAAGATCTTATTGCCTGCAACAGACAGGTTGGAAAGGCATTTTGTTCTTTCAGGAATGGGGAAAGTTCCTTAAGCTAGGAAGCCTTAAAGCAATTGTATTATGGGGAGGTTCATTCATCTGGGGAAGCTGAAAGGACCCAAAGTGAGATTGGACTATCAGTTCAGAAACTCCCCAGTAACAAGTGTAAAGAAATGCCATATATTGAGAGCTAACGTGACATTTAAATGATTTCATTTGAACCAATTAACTGCAAAGACATGTACAGTCAGCTTCCACATTCGCTAGTGTTAGAGCAGGTATGGGCAAACTCAGGCCCGGGGACCGGATGCAGCCCCTTGGGCTCTTTTTTCAGGTCCTCCTCTCTCTCTCACCATCCTATCCTTCCTTCCTTCTCTCTTTCCTTCCTCCTTCCATCCTTCCCCCCCCCTTCTTTACCTTCCTCTTCCTCATTCCTTCCTTCCTTCCCTCTTTCCTCCTTCCCTCTCTCCTTCTTTCTCCTTACTTCCCTAACTCCCTTTCATCTTTCCCTTCCACCCTTTCGTTCTTCCCTCCCTTTTGTCTTTCTTTCCTCCTTACTGCCCTCCCTTCCTTCCCTCTTTATCCTTCCACCCTTTCTTCCTTCCTTCCCTTTTTCCTCCCTCCTTCCCTCTCTCCTGCTTTCTCCTTCCATCCTTCCCTTCCACCCTTTCGTCCTTCCTTCCCTCTGAGGATGCTTGTCATAGATGCAGGCAAAACGTCAGGAGAGAATGCTTCTAGAACATGGCCATATAGCCCGAAAAACCTACAACAACCCAGGGATTCCAGCCATGAAAACCTTCGACAATACAAGGAATCCCTGTTCACAGGCTGGACTGAAAGGAGGAGGCCCCAGCCAAACCTCACAGGTCGCTGAAGGTGTGGCACAAGGGAAAGCTCCACCACTGGCTCCTTATGAGGAAAGGGAAAGGAGAACATGGGTGATCTTGCCTTTTGGCTAGCCCAACAGGAGAGAGCGCCCTTTGTGTGCAGGTGATAGGGAGAGGGATTGATTGATCTTGATGGTCTATGATGCATCCGATTTTTGCCTCAGTGGTCCATGGTCTCTTAAAGATTGGGAACCACTACTCTAGGATGACCACAGAATTGCACTGGAGGACCTAGGGATCCCTAGAGAGGGTATTCTCTAGACATCTCTATGTTCTCCAGTGATATTGGAGGAAGTTGACCATAGAATCACGCTTGAGGACCATGGACCACTTAGAGATAACATTTTCAATCAGTGTTTCTCAACCTTCATGTTGTGCTGACCCCCAACCATAAAATTATTTTCGTTGCTACTTCATAACTGAAATTTTGCTACTGTTATGAATCATAATGTAAATATCTGATATGCAGGATGTATTTTCATTTACTGCACCAAATTTGGCAAATACCTGATACACCCAAATTTGAATACTGGTGGGGTTGGCGGGGGGATTGATTTTTTTTCATTTGGGAGTTGTAGTTGCTGGGATTTATAGTTAACCTCGAATCAAAGAGTGCTTTTCCCCAAGCCTTGAAAGGGACATGAGCCTCCCTCCAGCCTTGCGCGCTCTCCCTCACTCCCGCGCTCTCCCTCACTCGCACATACGCACCACACTGCACGCCTGCTCTCCCCTCACCATTAGGAGTCTCAGAAACAGTCTCCCCATGGCTGAGAGGCTGGCCAATCACAGCAGGAGGAGGACCTTTGGTGGAAGGATTTGCCATCTGTTTCCAAAAAGGAAAAGAAGGACAGATGGAGAGATCTTCAGCCTTCTCTGCCACAGGGGTTCCTAAGAAATATGTTTTCTGATAGCCTTTAGTGGCTCCTCTGAAACCCCCTCACGACCAACCCCCAGGTTGAGAAACACTATTTTAATTAAATTCCATGGATAATCAAACCCATAAAAGTCAAAGCACAAATGCAGGGGGACAACTGTACAAATGCGGATGCATGAGTTTGGATGCAGAAAGGGGAGAGCGTTCAGTTGTAGGCATAAGCCAGTCTGTTTTCTCATACCTTTCTGTCGTGGGATCAGAGCAGTTCAGCGGATATCTCAAATCGATAATGGTTCCATCTTTGTCTTGCAGACATCCCTGCTGCTGTGTGTAGTACTCCACCAATTCAGACAAAGTGGCAAATTTCTCTCCTCCATAGAGGTCATAAAAATCCCCCGTATTCTGGATGCGGATGTGGGTTACCTGATCGCCAATCCTGTAGGGGCACAAAGAAGTATATGATCAAGAAGAACGGAGGGAACTAACAGAAGTAGGTACGCAAGGGAGGAGAAGAAAGGAAACCCGTTCCTCAATCCATTAACTCCAGAAATGTGGGCAAAAAGCATGGGAAGGATATACCTGGAAATTGTGCTGATGAGACTTATCCTCAGCATACCTTACACATGCCAAGCCTCATATGCTGAGTCCCAGAATTTGACCCTTTCACCCAGGCCAGAGCATGCAATAAAAGTATGTGTCAAGCTCCATTATGTCTCTCATCCATACTTTTCCATACTCAGGTGCTTAAAATGGAACGACAGAGGCCATACACTGCCATATAACCCAGTTCAATCTGGGAGAGATTCTGGGCCCTTCCACACAGCCATATAACCCAGAATATCAAGGCTCCCAGTGGTGCAGCAGGTTAAACCGCTGAGCTGCTGAACTTGCTGATCAAAAGGTCGCAGGTTTGAATCTGGGAAGCCGGATAAGCTCCCGCTGTTAGCCCCAACTTCTGTCAGCCTAGCAGTTTGAAAGCATGCAAATGTGAGTAGATCAATAGGTAACGGCGCTCCATGCAGTCATGCCAGCCATATGACCTTGGAGGTGTCTACGGATAATGACAGCTCTTCAGCTTAGAAATGGAGATGAGCACCACACTCCAGAGTCGGATATGACTGGACTTAATGTCAGAGGAAAACCTTTACCTAAGAACTTTTTGTTTGATGTTTCGCCCACATCTATGCCAGGCATCCTCAGAGCTTGTGAGGTCTGTTGGAAACTAGTCAAGTGACATTTATATATCTGTGGAATAATGTCCAGGGTGGGAGAAAGAACTCTTGTCTGCTTGAGGCAAGTGTGAACATTGCAATTGACCACCTTGATTAGCATTGAATGGCCTTGCAGCTTCAAAGCCTCGTTGGTTGCTGCCTGGGGGATCCTTTTACAACACCAGCTCTTCAGCACAGAAATGGAGATGAGCAACAACCCCCAAAGTCAGACACAACTGGACTTAATGTCAGGGGAAAACCTTTACCTAAGAACTTTTCGTTTGACGTTTCGCCCATATCTCTGGCAGGCATCCTCAGAGCTTGTGAGGTCTGTTGGAAACTAGGCAAGTGACATTTATATATCTGTGGAATGCCCAGGGTGGGAGAAAGAACTCTAGCTGCTGGAGGCAAGTGTGAACGTTGCAACTGACCACCTTGATTAGCATTGAATGGCCTTGCAGCTTCAAAACCTGGCTGGTTGCTGCCTGGGGGGATCCTTTCACAATGCTGGCTCTTCAGTTTAGAAATGGAAATGAATACCAACCTCCAAAGTCAGACACAACTGGACTTAATGTCAGGGGAAAACCTTTACCTAAGAACTAGAGTGTTACGATTGTTATGAGCAATTGCATTCCACATGAAATTCCATGTGAGTCTTGAGATTTTTCTGCAAATTCAAAATATGAGGAATTTTGTATGACACCAAGTGAGTTTTTGAAGACTATTGAGGGGAGAGGGATTGACACATTTTCAGCCAACTGGAGATAGTGACAATTTGGAAGAATGGAGAAAAATTGGGCAAACCGAAGTTGGTCTGCTGGTCAGAAGACAGGAAATTGGTGAAGGAAGTTCTGTGACAGAAGGCCTGCAGGCTTGGGCCAATGCTAGGAAAAGGACTTCCTGGCCCAGTGTCTAAAGCCTTCCCAGAAACAGTCAACTTGAGGAAGTGTTTGGAAACCACTGGGACATGTGGGACGCAGGCTAGAAAATAACTGGACTGTTAAATCCTTCTGCTTTTGGCACAGGACCCCACACCAGATCCAAATTCTCTCACACAGAGCTGCAAAAAGAAATAAAAAAGCCTGGGCTTCATCACTGAGTGCTTCTTCTGATGCAGTGAGATCAACTCCCAGGTCCTGTCCAACAGATCAGAATAGCTGCTGAGAATAATTCTAGTCAAGTGGCAGCAAGTCACAATGGTCCCAGCTTCATCTTTTCATTTGTGGCACCCACTATTCATTCTGTCTTCTCTCTTCCTCCATGCAGTCATGCCAGCCACATGACCTTGGAGGTGTCTATGGACAACGCTGGCTCTTCAGCTTAGAAATGGAGGTGAGCACCACACCCCAGAGTCAGACATGACTGGACTTCATGTCAGGGGAAAACCTTTACCTTTATCCTCTCTCTCCCAGTATCCCACTTTCACTGGAAACACTGTTATAATTGAGTATTCCAGGCTGTATGACCATGTTCCCAAAGCATTCTCTCCTGACGTTTCGCCCACATCTATGGCAGACGTCCTCAGAGGTTGTGAGGTCTGTTGGAAACTAGGCAAGTGGAGTTTATATATCTGTGGAATTCCCAGGGTGGGAGAAATAACTCTTGTCTACCGGAGACAAGTTTGAATGTTGCAATTGGCCACCTTGATTAGTATGTAATGGCCTTGCAGCTTCAAAGCCTGGCTGGTTGCTGCCTGGGGGAAAATTCTTTGTTTGCTCCAGATCTTTTCTGGATATAGGTTTAAATATTAAATTTAGGAACAGACCCTAAAATTACTCATCCCCATTAAGTGCAACTCTCTCTTGCAATTACTCATGAGACAGTTTGGATATACCTATACCTTATCATGGAAAGTACAACAGTACAATAGCACAGCTTTTTCCCTTATATGAGCATTCTTATGTTCGCAAATTTTTATGATTCTGCAACTTGCATGAAATAAACTTTAATGTTAGCAAAATGAAACTTCTGGAATTAAGTTTTTTCAGTATGAAGAAAATGGCATGCTGGCTCTATGTATTTTTAAATCTGTTTTATTGTACTGACATGTTTTGATTGTTTTATAATTCGATATGGTATGTTTAGTGTTGTGTGTATGATGCAACACTGAATTTTTGCCATAATTTGTAAGCCGTTCTGAGTCCCCTTCAGGGTAAGAAGGGCGGGGTGTAAATATAGTAAATAAATATAGTAAATAATACTGTGAAATTGTGTGGTTTTAATCGAGTTTAAGAGAAAGACTTTAAGTGTAACAAAACAGCACATTTCATTTCAGAACAATGCAGAGATGTCTGATTTAAAAAGAAGCTTGTAGGAGGATTGTTGGAGCAACAGAAGGAAATTTATATAGTATTTTATTAAACATGGCAAGACACACATGGTACTTAATGTGATGCCCAGTGATGTTTATACTTTTTGAACTGATTTTACGTTGCAGACATAGTTTTGTTAACATGTATAGTTTATTATGCTTATCTACGTCTTAATTTTGTTATGTCTTGGTTAGTTCCTATATGGTCTTATAAGTTTCTATTTCTATTTTTTATTTTTGTTGTGTCAGGAGCGACTTGAGAGACTGCAAGTCACTTCTGGTGTGAGAGAATTGGCCATCTACAAGGACGTTGACCAAGGGATGCCCAGATGATTTGTTGTTTTTATCATCCTTGTGGGAGGCTTCTCTCATGTCCCTGCATGAGGAGCTGGAGCTGATAGAGGGAGCTCATCCGCCTCTCTCCAGATTTGAACCTGCGACCTGTCAGTCTTCAGTCCTGCTGGCACAGGGGTTTAACACAGTCCTGCCGGCACAGTTTCTATTGATGTTGTTTTATTTATTGAATTTGATTTTCTTTTCTGTTTTGGCACTGAATGTTTGCCATGAGTTATGTTGCTGGAAACTGCCTCGAGTCCCCTTGGGGAGATAGGGCAAGTTACAAATAAAGCATTATTATTATTATTATTATTATTATTATTATTATTATTATTATTTGATACATAATAAGTTTACTACATAGCAAATAAGATCACTATGCTGATTTTTGTAATTGATCACACGTCGGACACTTCACAAGTGTCTAGAATTATGTGATGTATCAGCAAATAATGTGTGCAGATCTGAGTAGGGTGGCCTTTTGCAGCTGAAAGATGGTAATTTTGTCAGCGCCGATTGTTTTTAAGTCCAGGCCAAGGTCTTTAGGCACTGCACCCAGTGTGCCAATCACCACTGGGACTACCTTTACTGGTTTGTACCAGAGTCTTTGCAGTTCTATCTTTAAATCCCCATATTGTGTAAGTTTTTCTAGTTGCTTCTCGTCAATCCTGCTGTCACCTAGGATTGCAACATTGACAATTCATACTTTTTTCCCTCCATGATTGTGAGGTCAGGAGTATTGTGCTCCAAAAATTATTATTATTATTGTTATCTGAAACCTTCTGCATAAGGAATGACAGGCAACAGAGTTTTAAGAAGTTTCATAAGCAAAGATAATAATAGCAGATGAATTACCTGACGGAAAGGGAGAAGTCCCCTTTGTTCTTTCGACTAGGGCGAGCCAAGAAACTGCCATGGATTCCTCGTGCTTTCAGCAAGGCCTCAGCATCGATGCCACTCAGATCACGGTGGAACCACCTGCTTTGAGAGGAAGGTGTGGAAAGGAGGGATTTGGAAGAGAAAGAGACAGGAAGAATCCTCTTTAGGGGAATGCGTCAAGACTTTGCCACAATCCGTAAAGAGAGAAAAAGTAGACAGAATGATTACGGTAACTCCCACTCTTACAGCTGAGTATACATGTGCATGCTAAACAAATGCATGTACCGGAGCCTTGTGTGTACCAAAAGCTGGTGGTTTGAGCAGGGAAGACGGGGTTTGGAACATTGGCCATCCCTGCTTGCAGGGGCCAATGAGTCAGATCAGTCCAGATGCCACTAAAGGTCCAGATGCCACCTTGAACACATTGCTTTTGAACAGAGTCGCAGTTTACCTGCAGCTCTGTGCTATCGTCCCTAAGTGTTAACTAGTCAAGCAACAATAAATTAAATGTTGTACATGAATTGTCACTTTAAACAACAGGATGGACATTTGTGGCCTTCAACAATGCGGCACACCAAAAGCGAGCCAAGAGAGAAAGTGGTAGAGAAACATTCACTGGCTAAATATTTTGCAAAATACAGTAGCAGATACAGTGCTTAAAAGAGGAAGAAAGAAGAGGTTCAAGGATGGAAAAAAGTGTTAATCCCGACTCCACCTTAGCCCAGTGCCCACATTTGCAAGACCATGTGCAACTGGTGGTCTCACGGCATCCCTCCCCACAAACAAATATTTGGCGCAGAGATCTTTGCACACAATGTAGCCCAAGAGAAGACCTTTCAAAGCCTCGACAGAAAGATTGAACTAGTCCAGTATTAAATTCCTTACCTCATTATTGATAGGGGACAGGCGATAGGGTTGTTTATGGACACAAAATATAACAATTCAGTTAATTGGAGGAAGCTCTCCTTACGGTGCCGACAAAAGAGAAACGGACGCCTTATGATTTCTGTAAGACTTCTGAGCCTTGAATTCTTCGTCGCTCTTGTTGTCCATCTACCTCATACATGTGTTGTCCCAATTACGCTTTCATAGACTACTCCGCATTCTGTCTGTATTGGTAAGTACGGGAAGATCAACAGAACCGAGGCAAATTCAGAGTTGCTGCCCACTGTGACAGGAACAGGAAGCATAGCTAACTTATCGTTGCTTTTCACTGCAAGCTGCTATGCATGCACTTCTGCTTCTCCTTTTGGGTCTTTTTCCTTCCGTCTCCTCACTGTGCACCATTATTTCTGGGCCTGATGTGTGTATGTGTGTGGTAATGATGACTATATCATGACAGAAATTAATGCAAGGCTACTTGTTTCATTTCCTTCTGTGATGAATCAACAGGAGCAACTAATGCAGTTTATTTCAACAACAACAACAACAACAACAACAACAACAACAACAAATTTTATTTATATCCCGCCCCATCTCCCGAAAGAGGACTTGGAGCGGCTTACATGAGGCCAAGCCCAGTGATAAATTGCAGCAACATAAAATATATACAACAAAACAACATCACAATAAAATAAAGAAACCAATCAAGTAAAATAAACAGTACAAAATAACATAATGGAAAATCAAACACAGTGGGCGGGCCAACTGCACGACATAAAATGATAAAACTCTGGATGAGATAGCAATGAAAAAGGTACATTTGTGGGGGAAGGAGCTCGTATGGGACTGAACAGTGGAATTAGACTTGCAATAAGGTGGGGGAAAGTGCAATACGAGGAAAACAGTGTAGGTGAAACAACAGGATTGGAATATATGGTCACTCTCCAAAGGCAAAACAATGTCATCCCAAAAGTATATGACACAGAATAAAGACAGAAAAGCAATGGTATATAGATTGTGAGATGAAATCATAGAATCATAGAATCCTAGAGTTGGAAGAGACCTCGTGGGCCATCCAGTCCAACCCCTTGCCAAGAAGCAGGACAAAGCACCCCCAACAGATGGCCATCCAGCCACTGTTTACAAGCCTCCATAGAAGGAGCTTCTACCTTGATTCCTTGTACAAAAGAACAAGGAATCAACTTCACTGCATGTCAGGCCCTATGTACACTATAATATGATGCATTGAAACTGCATTATATGATCAGTGAAGATTCAAATACAGCAGAGTCTTGCTTATCCAACATAAACGGCCCAGCAGAATGTTGGATAAGCAAAAATGTTGGATAATAAGGAGGGATTAAGAAAATGCCCCAGCGGAGATTAGGAATGGACCAGAGGCAGCTTCACCCCACCCCAAGGACTTTATCATTATCTAACCCTTTAATAAACTGTATCTATTTTTCCTGACTTTCTGTCTAACTTGTATCTTTCTGTGTACCTTATCTATTTCTTTTATATAAAATGTATAAGCATCCTTATAAGCCATAGCAAGATATAGCCCAGAGACTACTATGTAACCCCGCTGGGGCATTTCCTGAAACAGGAAAGTGGGGCAAATCCCTCTGGCCGTTTCCCAACCAGGCAATCATCATAACCCATTGTTCATGTATGCAAAAATAGACAAGTTTCTTGTGTCAGCCCAAGTAAGACAGAAAGTATTTGACTAGTTAAGAGCTCCACTTGAGGCTGAGAGATTGCTAACTGTGGAAACAGAGGTTCAGAGTACATACATTCATTAAATCTCTTTATTGACAGCCCAATTCATGATTGCCAAAATCATCACCTTTTGACTCAGAAATCTTGCACCTTTGTTAATACGGCAGAACTGGACCATTAAGCTAATGAAGAGCTCATTATCATTTATTTGACATTGTCTTTACAAGTGATGTCTCCTCCCAGAGAGATGTCCCCTCAACTGATTGGTTCCCTGGCCAGCAAATCCTTCGCTGTCATTTCCCTAGAAAAGGGAATCTCTGCCTGGAGGTGGCAACTTCAGCTGCATCCTCAGCCAATCAGAGCACAGATCCAGTCCAGCCTCTCTCTCAGCCAATCAGGGAAGGGAGTGGGAGTTTTGAATTGTTGTCAGACTGTATAAGACGCCTTGCTTTCTCTGTATGGTTTATGTTTGTACACTTGTATGCTGTGTTGTTGTTATGTTTATTGCTATTTTCTGTTTATTAGTTTATTTATTGTTTGTATTACTGTTGCTATTATTTTTATTGTTGTATTGTGGGCTCGGCCTCATGTAAGCCGCACCGAGTCCCTTGGGGAGATGGTAGCAAGGTACAAATAAAGTTATTATTATTATTATTATTATTATTATTATTATTATTATTATTTGAAGCACCCACTTTATCCATGGTCCTAGTTATCCACAACAGTTGCGACCAACCTAAGAATTGTCTTCGTCAACCTCAGTTCTGGGAATAACAATTGTGATATAGAATGCCCATACAGTTTGGAAAGAGCATCAAAGGGAAGGTAGCAGGCTTGTCAATAAAGCTGTTCTCCCAGGCAATAGGGGAAAGTACATAAATAAAATGACTATAATGCAATTAGGATTCTGAAAAGCACAAGAACCCTTAAAGTCTTAATAGTGCATTGCCTGCTTACCAAGGGCACAGCAATTGTGCACTTTTATCGAGGACTTTAAACTAAAGTAGATCAATTGAAGCAGTGGCTGAATAGATAATTATCAACACAAGGCAAATCCCATTGACTCAGGCCCCAGCTACACTGCCATATAATGCAATTTGTAATGCAGTTTAATTGCATTAGATTGCAATATATGGCACTCTTGACTCATACACATGCAGTACCCATGCTACAAACATCCAACTTGCAAACAATTCATAGTTAAGAACAGGAATAAGACAACAGGAAGTGAGTAATCTATCCCTAAGAAGGGAAGATCACTCTTGAAAGAGTTATAATTACTGAAGCTTTCTTGCCAATCCTTGTTTCCACAACAAGCCAAATTTTTCAAAATGCAGTTCTCACAGGGGCAGAAAGTGAGCTGAAATCTTCTGAACGGGGCACGGGCAGCAAAACAAACATTTCTCGGGGGTGATAATCCTTCCCTGTGCAATTCAAAACTACCGTATATACTCGAATATAAACCGACCTGACTATAAGCTGAGGCACCTAATTTTACCACAAAAAACTGGGAAAGCATATTGACTTGAAGATAAACCGAGGGTAGGAAATGCTAAAATAGATACCAATAAAAGTACATTAATTGAGGCATCAGTAGGTTAAATGTGTTTGAATATTTACATAAAACTGTAATTTAAGATAAGACTTCCAACTCTAATTAAACCATTATTCTAACCTTCTTCAATGTAAATGTGCTTACGTATCCTTCTAATAATAAATAAAATAATAAATGTAATAATAATAATAGAGTAAAATAATAAATGTAAAAATAACAACAATAAAGTAAAATAATAAATGCAATAAAAATAATAATAGAGTAAAATGATAAATGTAATAATAATAAATAGAGTAAAACAATAAATGTAATAAAATAATAACAGAGTAAAATAATAAATAACTTTGACTCGAGTATAAGTAAGGAGGACTTCTTCAGTCTAAAAAAAGGGCTGAAAAACTAGGCTTATACTCAAGTATATACAGTAATCTATATGAATTATTGGCTGAAGTTATACTTAAAATACATACAAATTCAATTTCAGAACAAACCTACAGAACCTATCTTGTTCGTAACTCGGGGACAGCCTGTAATACAGTTCAATGCAGTTAAACTGCATTATTAAACTGCATTATATGGCAGTGGAGACAGGGCTTTGATAGTTCTACTGTAGTCAGGATTAACAACAGAGTCCAGGTCTCTTTTAACCAGGTTTCGGGGTGGACCACAGAGAAATCACAGTTATTATAACACGAGTGTTAGCTTTCTCCATTAAAAAACAAGTGGGCATAGGTTGAATTTTTGAATGTGAAAGGAACTCTTTCCAAGGCAGTGAAAAGACATGTTGTTTGGGGTCTAGTATATTGAAATGCAGGAAGGGAACCCTGTATTTTCTACGTAGATATAAGGAATTTGTTTTAAGAAGATCAGCACGATGCAGGAATGGAAGTAAGCAAGCCACCTGAGACGGCACAGTGCTTGTCATTGTTCTCTTAGGCAAAAATAATTACAGGCAGGTCTCAGAGAGGCGTAAAAGATGTCCTCTTTTAGATAGGATCCTCTTTGCATGTGAGGCAAGAAAACGATGGCCACATTCAAGGTTACCAAATCTGGCCAACAAAATTTGTGTACTAGGCAAATAAAATCTACTATATTCAGACATCTCATTTACATAATTTCCAGAAAGAACCTCACTTCTCTTCCTATCGTGTGCTAAAAGAAGAAACAGGAAAAGGCCAACACAAGGTCTTAAGTTATATATAAAAGGCACTCTTTTATTCCGTGGAGCAACATATAAGGAGCCTGTTGTCAAGGCGAAACAATATAGTCTTTTTTGTTACTTTCTCAATTTGTCCTTCTCTTTAAATGAAAAAAAAAAAAAGCAACTCTTTGAACCAACCGAGACACAGCATATTATTTGAGAGCACGGAAATGCTGGGCCATTCTGACAACCACCATGTCAGACTACACAGAGAAGCCATTGAAATCTATAAGCATGTGGACAATTTCAACAGAAAGAAGGAAACCCTGGAAATGAACGAAATCTGGTTACCAGTATTTTTTTAAAAAAACTCCAAAATCAGGACAGTAAATAAAGAGCAACACTCAGAAAACAGAGGAATTCCAGACAAGAAACAATCAGGGCCAGCTAATGTCTCTCAAAAAAGGATTCCACCAGGCAGGAAGCAGCCAGGCTTTGAAGCTGCAAGGCTGTTCAATGCTAATCAAACTGGCCAATTGCAACACTCACACTTGCCTCAAGCAGACAAGAGTTCTTTCTCCCACCTGGGACATTCCACGGATATACAAACCTCACTTGCCTAGTTTCCAACAGACCTCACAAACCTCTGAGGATGCCTGCCATAGATGTGGGGAAAACATTATTTACAGGACAATAATGACAATTGTGTGGCTTGTAAGTTGTGTTGAGCCCTCACCAGAATCCCTCTCTTAATCTCTAAAATCCAGCCTTGAAATGGCTGCATGTCCCTAGAAACTTCGAAAGCAGTGGTTCCCAACCTGTGGTCCGTGGACCACCAGTGGTCCGCAAGAACTAACATGTGGTCTGCAGCCTCACCGTTACTACACCATTGCAATGAGAGCGACAGT